CAATATAAGGGCTTGTCCATCTCGACTTTAACTTACCAGGAAATAGATAGAGTCTTGAATTATATAACAAGACTTCCGGAGAGTTCTAAAGACTTCCGCACTATATTGTTATCATGAAAAATTTTCATTCTGACTTAGCAATCTTAGCATTGTCATATGCTTTATTTCTCAACTCTTCTAATTCATTAATTTGAAGTTTATGGGATGCACTTGCTTTATTAGTATAAAAGTTCATCATTTTGATTGCCCAGTATGCTCGATGTTCCAATTCCACAAGCAAGTGACATGGTTTACCATAAACTAACCAATAAGGTGACATTCCCAAAATAGTTTTGTATGTAGTATGGTAAGGAATGGTCGACCTACAATTAATCAATGTATTTGATGTAGCAAGGAATGATCGACTTAGAATGATAGGAATGTATGTAGAAGCATTCAGAACTAGCTGAATATCTAAGACAATGGAATCCACTAGGAAATATAATTTATCAACTTGCACTAACACATCCTCCATAACTCCTTGTGGGAATTTCAGAGATCGGTCGCCTTTATTGCAATGTGACATTGGTGGGTTTCAACTTACCCAAACCTAAATGTTTATAGACCAAGTATGGAAGTAAATTGACACCAACTCCCAGATCGAGCAAAGCTTGCTCAATCCAGAAAATTCTGATTATGCATGACACTATAGGACTTCCAGGATCTTTGTACTCAATAGGGGTCTTGTGCTGAATGGTAGCACTAACCTGCTCGATTAAGAATGCTATTTTCTATACATTGATCTTCCTTTTAACTGTGCAAATGTCCTTAAAAAACTTGGTATAAGATGGGACTTATTTGATTGCATCTAGTAGGAGGATGTTAATCTTTACTTGCTTGAACATTCAAAGATTTTAGAATGATTGGCTGGAGTTTTAGGTTTCTTAACTGCTTGAGGAAAAGGTAACGGGATAGGCACGAAGGATCTTTTTCATTTGGCAATTCTGGTTCCTTTTCAGTTACTAGTTCAGGCTCAACTGATTTATTTACTAAGATTGACTCAGGTTTTGGCTTAGGAATTAACATGTCTCTAATGGTTTTTTCTATCACCTTACCACTTCTTAGTCTGGTAATTTCTTGGACTTGACTCAGAGATGGTTTGGAAGACACAACGTTGGCTTAGTTTTGACTCTATGGGTGTTTTGGTTCAGATGGATCTCTTTCTCAGATGTGCTCAACGACTGGGTTAATTTGGCTATATGACTCTTGATGTCTTCAATACTCTGTGAAGTTTGGGATTTGAAATCAGTAAATGCATGGGTGTGCTGAGTATTAAAACTTATCTGGCTCTAAATGAACTTGTTCATGGTGTCCTTTTCTGTGGGGGTTGATATGGCTGATATGACTGCTGAGTTTGGGGTTGTTATGACTTCTGAGTTTGGGGTTAACCTAAAGGTGGACCTTGTGGTTAACTCATAGGTTGTGTGTTTTTTCCAACTAAAATTTGGGCGATTTTGGCACCCTGGGTTATAGGTTTCAGATTAAGGATTGGAATTGGGCTTGTTAAAGTTGGAAACGACATTGCACTGTTGCATCAAGACCTCTTTGAATGCATGAATGGCTGGACATTCTCCTGTGGGATGTCCTGACAATGCACAGATTTCACTTGACTGCTCAATGGTAGACACTATAGACAGTTCCTTAATTTTTTTTATTTCTAAAGATTCTATACTCGCACAACGTGACTACATCTTTTGAATTTTTTAAACTTACAAGCATAAAGTGACAATGTGACAACATCTTTTGAACTTACATTTACTTAAAGGAATAATTTTTTGAATTTAAAAGCTATTCAGTAATCTCGTTATGCTTGCATTGGTTAGAGTGCATATGGATAGTTGATTGACTTTGTCTTAAAATGTCAATATGCCTCTGCATGCTTATCTAGAGATGATATTAGGTCATCTTTAAATTGCTTTGAGCCTTAGCCTTTCTTGAGAAAAATTTATCCCTTGTGTCGTTATTGAGCCTTATTTGAAAATTTGTTTCTATGCCACATGCTTTACCAAGCCAGTGCCAAATGATTATTATGACCACACCTTAGTTTTTTCGAGACTGACTGTGATTAATCATGAAGAAAGGGAAATGTGGTGAGGAAACCCAAAAAAGGTTGAATGGCATTGAATGAAAAACATTAGAGAAAGCCAAGAAAAAAGAGAAAAAAGGGGTTAACAAAGAAAAAAATTTAAAAAAAACAACGTTGAGAAGAGAGGGATAAAAGAGACATAAAGTTGACGTGAAAGTGTAAGCTGAAAATTCCAAAAAAAAAAAAAAAAGATTTTTTATAACAAAGGTCATGCCCTTGGAATAAACTTTTTTGTCTCCCTCTTTCCTTCATTTCACTCAACCCAAATATCACCCCCAAGGCCTCATTACAAGCCATGAAAGCCCTAAATGATCTAGAGAAAGCTTGATGAGTGAACACTTTAAATGAACAGAAATTTTGGTTCTACTATCTAGTGCCCTAACATTCCATTCATGAGATTATGCCAAGGTCGTTTCAATTGTTATGCATGCACATCATTTTTGGATTATATGTGAGGATTCGGTTTGTGCAAAAGATTCTATCTCACATATACATACTAAGAGCATGCCAGAATAATCATGAGTTATTCATCTTTGAGAGAAACCCTTGGTGAGAATCGCATCAAAGCTAAAATTGAATAGCCTAGCAAATGTGGATTTTGTTGATTAAATGTTTAAATTGCATGTTCATTTCACACACAAATGAGTTTTGAAAGGAAATGTGGAAGTGTATACTCTAGAATAGCATTTAAAGCTATGATGAAACTCATGTGTGATTGGTTTGGGTGTTTGAAAAGTTGTGTCAGGCGACCCAGAGCTAATAGGATAAGGGAACTTTGCTCAAATTTTAAATATGGGAAAGAAAGAGGAATATCGTTTTCACTGTAGTTTGTGCTTTACATATTGGGTGTTCATTTTGTTGAATTTAGAATTCCATTTTATGTGTTTTGAAAGCACAAAGAATCAAATTGCATTGCAATTTTGTATATGAATTTGTGCATAGTCATATAGTGTGGTTCACTAGCATGTATCATGTTTGGGGTAATTGAGTTAGGAAATAGGTCATTAGAATGCTTTGGAGTCGAATAAATTGGGATTGAGAATGAGAAAATAGGAATTTTTTGCAAAAATTTGAGCCAGCTACCAATAGAAGACTCATTACCTACCAGTAGCTCGTACCAAAATGGCTAAAACAACAAAAGGGGAAGTGATTAACCCAAATTAATGTATAAATAAAATAGATTAAAATAGTTAGTACATTAATTAAATAGGTTAATTAGTTAACTATGTGCATAAATTATGATAAGTGTGTGTTGTTATAGTAAAATTAGGGTTAATACGGAAGTTTGAAATTTTGCAGGGTTTTGTGTGTAAGGTGCCGAAAATAAAAAGGATAAAGTATACAACTTGAAGCAACAAAGGGATGCAAGTGGAATTACTAAATCGACACACCAAAACAATAGGAGAAGATCACCACCAATCCAAAGGTTTAGCACTGTCTGGATGGTGGTGGTGGTGTCTGGAAGGTAGCTAAACTGACTTAAGAACTTCTACCACCTTCTAGCTCTTTTTCCTTTGCCTATAAATAGGCCATGCAACCTTCATTTTTGGTAGTGAAAACCAGAGGAGCTCCAGGGGGAATCCAGAGGAGCTCCAGGGAGAATCCAAAGGAGAGAAATGGAAGAAAGGGGAAGAAAAGAAGAAAAAGCAAGAGAGAAGAGAAGAAAGCCAAAGTGGAACCCTGTTCGACCTACTATCCAACCATAATCTGTTATTTCTACATTTCTGTTATACCTTTTTACTTGGAAAATTGAACTTCTGCCACCTTTTTGTCTTAACCAATATCAAGGGTGGTTGTATTTCAATTATTCCTTGGGGAAGGAGTGGTTATATTCTATTTTGTTGTAATGAAACTCACCCACACTTCTTGCTTGCCTATAGCAATGGAGTGTTTGTAGTTTACTTCTACTCTTCAGTGAGGGGTAAACATATGTATATTATTAGTAAAGTTAAAGAAATGCTGATGTTTTATTATACTTTATTATATATATACCTCCCTTAAATGATGGATGGTTATATTTATCATGTGTTCACGGTTATGAACACCAAGCGATACTTAATATTCTATACCAAACTTTCCACTATTATCTACTTCATGCATGATACAGTGAAGTACGTAATTGGGTGTTACGTAAAAGTCAATTGATTAGTTATGGACGGGTTAAGTCTCGATATAACCAATGCTTCTGATTCAATATGTAGCCCATAATTAGGTCATCAGTGAATCATCAACCTACCAGTTGAATAACCACGGCGTTCGTACTAAATGGATTGACCTTCTGGATTACTAGGGTTATTTAACTGATACATAATATAACTAGTAATTGCCCGTACCTGAAAGCATGGCGTAACGAAAAATTAGATTAAAACTCGAGAAATACTAATAATATTGGATGAGACAAACCAAAAACATGTTGATGAGACAAATCAAAAATATGTTGACAAATCAAACGTTCTGCACATTGATCTTGCTCTACAACCAAATTATGAGATTAAAAGTATTAACAGTAAACGAATTAAAAAAAGATTAGCATTAAAAAATAGATAAGTATATAGCAACATATAAATTGCAAGAAATAGAGGGTTCAAGCATTGGTACCTCATCCTCTCATACAGATTTAAAAGTTTCTCAGATGATTGCTCACTTGCATTAATATCACTATGTAACAGGGTTTGATTTGCTTTATTTTTGGAAATGATAGTAGAAGGGTAACTAAGCAACATACACAAAAAATGCATTGATGTGAGAATTTATATTATCAGGAGGAGCAACAACGGAGTGATGTAGCATCGAGCATCGAATTCTTCATGAAGGAACATAAACTTTCATTTAAAGCTGAAGTGAGGACACATATTAGGCAGCTCATTCAAAACCAATGGAAAGAGTTAAATGTGGAGCTAATGACCCAAGCACACTGCCACTATCAACCATCAAAGCCTGCTTTAACCTCTCAAGAACTGCTCAAGCTATTTATGAGCATGGACATGATAACAGGGCTCCAAGATCCAAGATCATGCAGACTCTTTATTCTCCAAGCCGATTGTTCTATAGGCTGCTGGTTCAGATCATTGAATCTGCAATATGTTGTGTAAGAATCATCACCGCTAGTAAGTAAGAATTACATTGTATAGCCTACTGAATGAATTGCTTACAAGAATTTACTATACATTATACCTTAACCGTGAAGATTTTATTACATATGGGATTGAGAGTGTTCTATATTTTAGAAACTGAAGCTAAAACACGGCATATCCCATCTTTCCAATTGCATTCTTTTCTTATTTTGGTGGTTTATGTCCCTCCCTTGGCCTAAATCTATGTCGTACGCTGATAGACTACTCCTAATTAAATCTGTGATAAGCATTAAACATATTTATTAGGCTTTTCATCTATATCTGCCAGAACAGATCATTGATGGGGTGGAACAATTCATGAGGAATCTTATGGGAAGGGATTGAAATGGGCAGTTACGGAACAGAAGTCTCTTGGGAAGAAGTATACATACCGAAATGTGAGGGAAGCTTAGGCTTAAGGAGAATCAAGGGCTGGAATTTAGCTCTAATGGCCAAGTACATTTGGTTACTATTTACTGATAAGAAAAATCTTTGGGTTCAATGGGTCCATGCGTACCAATTAAGAAATAGAAGCTTCTGGGAGGTGAGGTCCACTCATTGTAGCTCTTGGAACTAGCACAATATGTGATTTGACAATCGGCATCCCCATGGACCCCTTGATCAAACCAATAGTCTAGGAGTTTGAACTTTTAAAGGAAGATTATGTTCCACAACAACAACTGGAAGTGGCCTAACACTAATTCCTTAGCCTCTAAAAATGTTGTTGGGGACAATGCCAGCTTATGCTCCTAATTCTGTCACTGTCTTATTGAAACTAACAGCTAACTCCACTGTCTTAGGAGCAGGGACAATACTGTAGCTTGGCATAAATTGGTTTGGTCTTGACAGTACATACCCAGAATGTGTTTATTCATCCACTTTGTGGGCACTATCCTCTCCTTATCAGGGCATGTCTGGCAGCCTAAACCGTGGGATGAATTTATAGGATGGGCTGCAATTAACAATAGTGTTGTGTAGATTGAGTTTGTCAGCTACTATATATCTGTCACTTATGGATGGAAAGAAATAACAGGAGATTCAAGCACCAGTTCGGGGACCCAAGCACTGTGAGCCAGCTGATCCAACAGACCATTAATTAGGAATAGAATGGTTTCCCTTAAGTTCAAATAGATATATAAGTAGTTCAGCAGTGGGCACTTCCAAGTTCCACCCACTTGTCAACTACCATGGTATAACTACAACATTTCTTCAATATTGTACTACTTATATTCTAAATTTGCAACTTTTGGTAGTGAATTTTCCAAGCTAAGCTAAGAAAATGTTAATAAATGATGGGCTAACACCTAGTGAATGTAGATTGCTCAAAAAAGTAGAAACATGAAAACCATTATAGGCAAAGTAAAAAAAGATGGCACATAACATAATGATGCTTGAACATAGCACATAACATAAAATTAAATTATGTAAGCTAATAAAATTAACAAAGCTCATGGTAGAAAGATACACATCCCACTTGCTTAATGTCCATACACATCCCACCCACAGCACTGCGGCCAAAATGCGACCTAAATATCCATCCAAAGAAAGGTGACCTAAAACTTTCCTCATTTCAAAAATAAAGGACCTTATAAAAACAACTTCCATAAAGCAAGAACTTTCCTCATTTCACAAAAACAATTGCGTAACTATAACTAAAAAAATTTGAAAACACCCAAATTAAACACCAAAACTAAAAAAAGACAAATTAAAAACACCCAAATTAAAAATACCCAAATTAACCTAAATTCAAAAACCCAAACACAAATCACACACAGATTTGTGTTGTGTTTGTGTGCTGCTGCATTGTGTGTGTGTGTGTTATCTATGTCTACTGTGGGTCGTGAAAGAGAGAGAGGGAGAGAGAGATAGAGAGAGAGGGGGTATACCTGGGCTATGCTGCTAGGAGCCGAGGAGGAGGGTTGTGTGGATGATTCCATGGCAGATTGGAGAGAGAGAGAGAGAGAGGCAGAGGGTTTAACTAGGGGTGGCGTGTGTATGGGTTCAAAATGGGCGGGATTTTTTTTTTGGGTTGAGATGCATTGCAAGCCATTGGATTGAAATGGAAGAAATGACATAAAATGTGGGCCTTTGAATTAAAAGTGGATTTAATCTGAGCCGTTCTTGTGCTTTCCCAAATAAATTAAATTTTAAAGTAGAAAAATATTCAAAATGGGTCCTATCTTATTAGCATAGATATTGCCGATTGAGTAATTCAAGTTATCATCCTAAATGGCATGACCTTCTAGTTTACTTGGATTAGTTAATTGTCACTTATACCACCAGTTAACCTAAATAGTTGTTGTGTTATGGTTTATATACATCAAACCTATTGCTTGCACTTTCAGTAACCTAGAAGTTAATTGTTATAAGGTGGCATTTCCAGTACTTAACCAATATAAAACATATGGGATCCTTAAACTGACGGGTACTTTTCATATTTTTTTTTTTAATAGTTCGCCTACGCATTTCATTTATTTAGTTTAGTTATCAGTCTAAGCTCACATCACAAGCTATCTAATGTTACACTGTTTTAACAATAACTTCACTATTCTTATTTTAAATTCCAAGTATTAAAACTCTTCACGGGATCGATATTGGACTTAACTGAGAAAGCTACAATTCGACCACTTATACTTGGGTGGATGACATAAAGGAGGTCACGAAACAAATCGAATCAGGAAGCTACCTGTAGAATACTCAAGACCTATCAGTAGCAATTTTCTAGAAGGGTACTCTACTAGTATAAGACTGACTACCTACCGGTAGCAGACTCACGAGCTACCAGTAGCTCGTGCCTAGAGTCCCAAAAATGAGGGTTTTAAAAAAAAAAATTTTGGAAAACCCTTCATCTTATGCATTGATCTCCCCCTCAAAAACATTCTATCCTCTCTTAAAACCCTCCTAACATTCAAAGAAACCATGGCCATGTGTCAAATCCATCAATTTTCTCCCTCAAGTTCTTGATTCCCCGTGATTCCCCACCATCTCCTCAAATTATTTTCCCCTAAAAAACCCTCTTTTCTCCATAAAGCATTACTAATTCCACCTAAAGCCGTGCTCTCCACTCAAAGCTCGGGTTTTTGGCACAATGGCTAGAATGGGTAAGTCTCCCCCTTCATCTTTTGATTTTTTTCAGTTATTTGGGGGATGGTTGTTGTCGTTCTTTGCCCTAGGGGCATTTTTTATTGTGATGCCCCACACTAAATAGATGAGCCCTATCTCACCACCTCAAGCAAGAACTAGGTCCTGCAAGAGGGCTGAAGAGTCATGCCCCAGCGATGGGAACAAAGAAAAAGAGGAATGACCCTTGCACGTAGAGCATTAAAGCTAAGAGTGTGACATTCGAGCAACAACTGGATAGGCCCAAGCTCGGGCCACACAATGATGTGGTTTGGACGATTGAGGGCCATGGCCTACACGTTTGGTTCGAGGCAGTGGAGGGGTATGTGTTTCCCTTTTTATGGGAATTTTACCAAAGGTTGAGGATGACAGATGAAGATCTGTGTCTGTTGAAGGCAAATGTGAGGGTGAAGGTGATGGAGGTCACCCCGGTTGTCGTCGCTAAGGCATTATAGTATCAGAGGCCTACTACCAACACCCCTATCTTTCCATATAACACCCCAGGGAGGAAATCACTCCAAGTGTATGCTAACCTAATATATGCGGACCCTGCGCAGTTTAATGTAAAGATTAAAGTTAGGGCACTCAAGCATTCCTACGGGGTGATGAATAAAGTACTACATTACAACCTTTTGCCTCAGGGTGTAGAGAAGTCACCGAGGGAGCATCAATTAGCCCTCCTCTATACATTCATTGTTGGCACGAGGATGGACAAAGCCTTGATGATCTGGGAGGTAATGAAGGACTATGACCAGTCTACGAAGTCGAGGGTGAACCTTCCTCACTCCCACCTTGTCACAAAGATGTGTTGCCATACCAAGGTTAAGGGCTTCCTCACTGACGTGACACTACCTCTATAGTTTGGACCCATAGACAAGTTGAGCAACATTAAGAGAAGAGGATGGCCATGACAGGAGCGTCTACATAGAGAGAAGAAAGAGCTAGGCCATCTAGGGATGAGCCACCTATAGTTAGGCCATTCACAACTTGGCCATCTACTGCTGCTCTGCCTATAACAGTCTCTCAGCGTGTAGTTGGGATTAAGGGGAGGTTGGATGACTTGGCAGGACTATGCAACTACTAAAGCTGATGGTTACCAAGATCTTTAATAGGACTTTCCCAAGAGCCACTCCCCGATATGCCACCATCCCTTACCATACCAGAGTTCCCATCATCACCTACAGGAACTAGTGCTGACCTCTGGGTGACTGCCCCCACCAGCTCAACTACTTTAGAGTTGGGAGAGTTTGATGAGATGGAGGACGATGAGGATGAGGAGGAGGATGATGATGTTGAAGAGAAGGGGGATTAGAGAGAGTGTAATCTTGTTTTTGTGCTTGCATATATTAGGAAATATATCCCTAGGAGTAGTCAAGTTAGTAGAAGAGTCCCTAGGAACACATGCCATTTTTCCTTGAGTTCTTTGTACTGAATCTCATACATGTATGAATTAAATAATCTCACTTTTTGATCTCATTATGCCCCAAGTTCATTTACATAACTCCAATATGATTTGAGTATCTTGTTGATCCATGAATTGTTTAACATGAATAAAATTCTTGTACGTGTATTGTGATTTTGAAATAATGTTTGCCAAGCACTAGCAAAGCTCAAGTTGGGGGGGAGTGGTAAGTGTGGAATGTTGCATATTATACATCTTCATTGCATCCAATTTGACTTTTATTTTTGGCAAAATGGATTCAAATTTATAATTAATCGAGAGTTGTTTGTTTTTAGGTGACATGTTGCAAAGGACATGCATAAAGCACATCATCGAGTGATCAAGTCAATGGGGAAGAAAATACCTCTTGACAAATGGTTTGGGAGCTCAAAGAAACAAGAATTCCAAGACAAGGGAAGAGCTACTGGAAAAA